GCTTCAAAATGACAGATCTCGGGGAGCTACACCACTGCATAGGTATAGTCGTAAAGAGAGAAGACAACTCCTCCTTACACCTCAGCCAGACACCGTATATCCGACAACTACTGAAAAGATTCGACATGGAAAACTGTAATCCTGTATCCACCCCTGCAGCATGTGATGTCAAGTTAGAAGAGAATGATGGTAGCAAGCCAGTCGACGCTAAGCTCTATCAGTCTATCATAGGAAGTCTCCTATACGCTGCAGTGTCTACTCGTCCTGATATAGCGGAGACAGTGGGAGTTTTATCAAAGTTCAACTCCTACCCATCTCAGACTCACCTGACGGCCGCCAGGAGGGTTCTTCGCTACCTCAAAGGTACCCAGGATTTAGGTCTCGTATATCGAAAACAAGGAAAATCCCTATATGGATATACAGATGCTGATTACGCCAGTAGTGCCGACCGTCACTCGAAGTCTGGAGCAGTGTTCATACACGCTGGTGGACCGGTGAACTGGTGTAGTAAGCGTCAGTCAATCATAGCCTTATCAACTGCCGAGTCCGAATATATAGCTCTCTTCGATGGTGTGGTGGAGTGTGTAAGGTTACGTCAGTTACTGTCAGATATTGGAGCCCCACCATCGACAGCCACCACCATTCATGTTGACAATCAATCTGCTCTCGCGATAGCAAACAACGGTAAAACAAGCAAGCGTACAAAGCATGTAGATATTAAGTATCATTACACACGTGAAGCCTATCGAGAAAGGTGACATCGCTACTCAATATTGCCAATCCGAAGAAAATATAGCAGACATTCTCACGAAATCTCTGCCCCGAGAGCGATTCGTTTCACTTAGAGACATGTTAGGGTTAGCTTAGTCTGACCGGCATAGGACTAGATTTTGGAATGTGTTATTCCTGTTTCATGTTTTGTTCACTTGGTTGTATTTTGTTTTTGGTTAAACATCAAACTGAGTGGGAGTATTGTATAAAGGCAGTTTCATGTTTAGGTTTTAATCATACTTATGAGTTGTCTACTCATGTATACAGTTTTGTGTGTGTTTCACTTCCTGTATCCTACAATGCATTGCGTTCCGCTTTGTTTTTTTTCTTAGTTGATTCTCTCTCTTGCCAAGAGATATATGTTGTGTTAAATAAATAAGCATCCTAATCCACATCAATCTTAAATAAACAACAAATTTTTTGACCAGACTGAAATGTTAAAGATCTGTGAGAATAGTTTGTACACATCACAATCTCGTTCTGTACAAAAACACTTCGGTCCGATATTTCTCCGAAAGGAAAAAAAACCTCGCGCTTGGTCAACAGGTAATAATGGTTGATTATCACTGATATTTTATGATAAAAATAGCTACTCAATGTTTGAAATACTCTCACTAAGCTGAGTAAAGTACTAGTTTTAAGGACGTAAACATTCACAGATTTGGCGTTAAACGAATTTAAACTTCTGTTTTGAATTTGAAGACCATCTCACGAGCACTTAGCGTATGTGGCAAAAGAAACAGGTAATCTAATTTTCTTAACAGATCTTTTCTGATAGCCTCGAAGAAATCTTAACTCATTTCCTAAACCTTTTTTTTGAGACATTGTCCATCACAACATTTGTGTTTTGCGTTACGTAAGTCATTATATATGAAATGGTTATGAAGTACTCACGTCTTACGTTTGAGTAGCAGGACAACGTTTACAAGATTTGGTTGACAGTACGCAAAGCAAAAACGTCTTTTCAACAAAGTATCTTATCCAAGCAAAGTCTTGCAACTACTCGGTTCGACGAATTGACGGATTTGACATACGTATGCAAAAATTTCTTTTAGAGCGCATATCGTAATTGGGTGACATGAAACAGCATTTAATATTAATAACAATTTATGAAGTATTATAAAAATTTGAAGAATGTAAACATGTCAGTGTTGGGTAATACTTCACGTAATAAAGAAACCAAAAAACACAAAAACATTCAGATGACGTTTATTTGTTTCTTTCTATAACCATGTACACTTTGACGAATTTAATATTGAAATTTTTTTGCAAATATGTTGGAGTTTTGAAAACAAGCATTACACACAATTTTTATGGTGCGTGAAATAAAAGAGTTAATGAAACGTGCGTTGTAATTGTTGATGGTGGAATTTTAATAAAGTAAATGGTTTAAGGCCGGGACTATCGTTACATATTTATAGATGTAGATCATCCAGGTTAGTAGAATCCTGAGAAGGACTGTTGATGTTGTCTACAAACATGTAACACCAAATTATCTCATAAAATCAATTCTTTTTCTTGTGACTTTTTGACCCTAGCTAATTTTCATTTCCTTCTTCAGTCTTCTCTTGCATCTAGTATTCATTTTGCGCAATTTAATGTTGCTTAATTACCAAAAATTTACTATTGACCATAAGGTGTTCGTTCTTACAAATCAATCTCTTCCAATAACTCTTAGGCAATAATAAAGTCTTCCAAACCTATAAGGTTTTCTGAGGAAATCCAGCAATTCCAACTTTAAGATCTGGAAAAATGGTCTTCAATACAAGATAACTTAAGTCATATATATGTCATTAAGTTATACGAAAAGATGTTATTGTTATAAGCCTCGTTCATAAGCCCTTCCTTGTATAATCTAAACAGAAAAAAACCGCATTTTAAGCATTTCTAGGAATTGTGTCAGTCAGCATGAGCATTTTATAACTTACATGCATGTCAAATGTCATTTCGTGAACAATTTCCATGTACTGCACGTTATAAGTTGTCGTCACACGGGTAGGGATAACGTTCCGGCATCCCAGCATTCAGTGCGTGCAATAACAGCGTCTCCCAGCAATTTTGAGACTCTCGAAAACTGGAAATTTTCGTTGATTTTTGGCTAATGTCACATTTCTAATGCTCAAATGTTTCTCACACGAAAATGTCAATTTTTTTAAATCAAAATTATGCCATCCGAGCATAGAGGGACATTTCTCTAAGCTGGCTACAAACGTCCAAGAATCCTTTGTAAATCTTAGGAAAATCATATGACAGTAGAAAGCTTTCCCCTCCAAAACCTAGCAGTGGCTCTTCTGCTCAAAAGTCAGACTCGCGGAAGAAAAATAGCCGCGTCCCAAGAACTCATTAACAGGAAGTTTCAGAAAATGTTATAACTAAAATTGTAAATGAACTCATCAGTCATCAGCATGTCAGAAAACAAACATCAAATCCACCCCCCAATTCGTCACATTCGAAAGCCTTGGCCGAGGTTGCTTATTAGATTAAATGATGAGAAAAGAAGGCCAGAAGTAACTGAAAGCCTTGCAAAGGTTGTTGAAAAACTTCATCGCACGTAGCTCGCTGAAGAAAAATGAAAAGAGAAACAAGGTTTTCCCTCAGTTAAAAAAATGTGAGGCCATGGAACCCACCAGAGTAAACTCGGAAAATTGGCAACAGCTGCAACCCAAAAGGTGCAGAGTTCCTTACTAAATGGACTAATCAGTTGAGCAAAACTCTCCTCCAGCTTGCAGAAAGCTTCTCTGAGGCGAAAGCAGAGAATTACTGTAAAACAAGCTCTTGATACTTTATCCTTATTTGCACAAGCGAATAGAGAGTTAAAACAAAGACAACGAGAATCAACTGACTAAACCTAAACTCAACAGCAAAAATCTCACGTGTTTGACTTGTAGTGCAAAAAAATAAAATTCAAAATTTAAGGGAGACGAACCTGTATGCTGATTTTTGATGTGATTCTTGTGAATTCTACCACTTGTGATGCAGTAAAAAGGTGATCACATCCCTCTACTCTCAAAAGTCCACCCTTGACACTTACCATTATTTGGCCAGTATGCTTTAGAAATTGAATGCTGGGTGCTTGCTATGCAATCTCATGTGATCCCATTGTTCTTGCATTTCAAGTCATAGAATTTAAATCAAACATCTACATAAAACTATGCATTTTTTCATGTTTGAATTATAAATGATATAACTGTTTGGGACATAGGCTAACTCTCAGTTAATTGGCGAACGTCACTTTTGGTGAAACAACACGCGATTTAATTGGCATAAAAATATTTTTGGTGGTCTGTTAATTTTTTATAATGAACGGCTGTATTAAACGTAATTTCACTAAAACATAAATAAATTTCATGGATCAAAAATAAAATTAAGATATGAGTTAAAAAACGACAATTACCATTCCTATGACAAGGCAAGGAATCATCTAAATAATGAAGGAATAAAACCAAAGGGAAATTAAAACAGCAAAATCGCATTATTATACTCATGAAATTCTATTTAGTTTTACTGTTGATATTTGTTTCTCTATCTGTTGTCAATGATAGTTATAAGACAGTAAACTACAATGCCAAAGAAATATGGAACTTTTGTAATCATTGTCAACAATAAGACTAGACTTGAACAACAACTAGATTTTGAGAAATGTGAAATTATACAAAAAATGACATGACTGGCTACTTGCAAACTAAAATGGTCATATTTTGCATTGAATTATATAAAAGTCTTTCGCGCAATGGGTCTAGGTTCCTTTTTTTGGGAGAGTTAGTGTGAGCTTAGTGCAATTTTTCTATAGCTTCTTATGATCTTCCGACAGTACATGAATCTATTATTCACGCAGCTCAGTTGTATTATGCAATGTGCTTTCTTTGCAATCAAAAATAATTCATCATCATTATTATTATTATTATTAAAGATATATTATACGTAGCAATCAACTATAACGATACATATTTATACCAAAAGCTCTCACCAAATTTACACTTAAACAAACGATTTTTAAGAAAAAGATCATTGTGATTATATGATACTCAAAAATTTGACATCTTACCAATTAATAAACCGTAAAACTGTGACCAATTACTACATGCATTACAAAATTGATTGCAAATCACTATAAAAAGAAAAATCCAGTTAATTGGCGGAGTTATTGCTTTTGTGCGCTTCAACATAGTTATTTGAACAAAAATACTCTTTGCACTTTGACCATTCTTTTTCAATGAGAGGTATCTTATCATTCGTATAAGTCAATACGAGGATCTGTAAGCTGCGAAGATTTCCAAATTTTCGACTTCGTCTTCGTTGATAGTAGCGTCGTAAATATTCACTTCTTCACCATTTTCGTCCATAATCAAGACGACACAATGACTCTTCTCGGCAGTGATATAAATCATAAGTCCTGCTTTATGCTGCGACACTTTAAATTCATTAATAGCCGTATTTAGAAAATAATGCTTTCTGCCAACACCGACCTCTTTTTTGAAGATTGATGTTAAGAAGCCTTTTTTTTGTAGGGCAATAAGTATGTTGGTACATGGCATCACCATCGTTTTTTTTAGTTTTGCTAGCACTTCCTTCATTGGCTGTTCCCAATCCTCATTTACTTCCTTCATTAGCTTTTCCCAATCCTCATTTTCTTCCTTCATTAGCTCATTTAGTTCTTGCTCATTATTCAGCAACTCCAAAATTTTCATCACAAACTTGGTCCCCAACGAAATCTGACCCAATTTTTGAATCAGCTGTACAGGACAGAAATAAATTTGCAAGGTAGTTAACAACAGTAGTAGGTTAGCCAACGCACATGGTGCAAATTTACAGAACAACGCTTTTCCATCGTTTTTTCTGATTTCTCTTGAAATTGAGTCTGCTTTCTATAGAAATCAGTTGGGTACAATTGAATACATGAATAAGCACGTCCCTACTAGCTACGTCCTAGCTACCAGGCACGTTCCAGCTACGCCCCTGTTGTTTTTACTCAAATTGAGCTTTTTGCCTCCTTGTTCTCTTAAATGTTAAATTATCTCCTGAATTTATAGCATGCAGATTTTAATCTGCAAAGTATAAAATACAACAGAGGACAAATGACATATGACAGATGCACAATTTTTTAACTTAAAACGTTTCTTAAACGTATTTCCTCTCTTATGATGTTTCTTATAGAGTATTGGATATTATCATGTGATTCATGACTTATACTAAGAAAAGTATTCTGAAATAATATTTTCAATAAAATAATCGCAACAAATATACTACATTGATGTACACGTGCATTGTACAATGATGTACACGAACTATTCCATCAAAATGGTTGCGGAAGATTTAAAATTTTAGATAATATAGAAAAAGTCAGTTATTGTTTCCTCATTGAGCAAAAATGTGTCATCGTTCTCAATAGCTTGGCGTTAAGAGCCTTTTCAGTCAGCAAAATTCTTAATTAGAATTCAAAATGTCCTCACGAAATTGTATAAAAAAATGTTTACCCTTTTGATGATTTTTAAGGAATGTGCGAAAGGTTGTAAATCTTGATTGCTCTTTAAATGATTCAAATGGTTGCTATCGACATAACTCGAGTGTACACCGTTTATTTCAGGCTCCTCGGATGAAGATTCAGTAATCTCATTTGTTGGAACAGCAGGATCTTCCTCCATCTCATAGTATGTGTCACATGATCCATCGACCTACAAGTAAACAAAATTCAATAAATAATATTGACAAGAATTAAATTTTCAATAATTTTCCATGAAAGTATATAGTAAAACTGAAAAACACTACAATACTTTGTCCATCTCCAATGACGTCGATTTGCTCTCGCATGATTGATTAACGATGTTAAGTTTATCATTGTCTTCATCAACTATTTTAATTAGTTTTTAGTATTTACTTTATGCATTGTACCAACAAACAAAAAATCTGAAAATAAGTTAGTAAAAATATTGCACCTAATTCAGACTCACATAAAAAATACCCTTTACAATAGGTTCTAGTGGTTTGACATAGATTTTGTTTGGTCTAAGACATAAAAATGGTTATTTGAGAATCTTAAGCAACTAAGATTAAGTTCAGATAGTGTTAGTACAATTCTTTCTTTCTATAATACAAATAAGAACAGGAAACATAAAAAACACTGCTGAGGGGCAATATTCATATATGAATGTTATAGTTCACAGGAAACAATCAATTTCAAAGTAGCTCGATACGCCAGAACAGGAATATATGGATATATGCCACTTTTTGTAACAAAAGCTTTTCTACAGTTGTGTTAGTTGGTCTACAATTTTAGAACTAAAAAGAAATTATGGAAAATTTACAGTTTACTATACCAGAGAGATTGTCTCGTCAGAGATATCCTTGCAAAATTCTGTCTATAAAATAATAATTTCATAATTAACATAATTATGTAAATTAGTTCCATTTGTGTCTGGTTCAGGTTGCATTATTAAAAACAGCAGCTTTTTTTGTGTTTATTTAAGAAATTAAAAGATAATTTGAAGATACCTTACCGAATAGGCTTTTTTGTTTGGGGCATCTTCGCACTCTTTCGACGACACTGTATAAAAAACGAAATCCTTCTAACATCTTATATTGTATAATTTATAATTTAGTTGCTATAACTTAAAAATTCTTGCACAATTGTATTCTGCACCAAACATGTGTAAAATACCGTATCGTCAATTGCTTCGTCGTTTTTGTGCCGTCTTATGCCGTCTTGCACAACTGACAGCTACAAATAACAAATGAAAACCATTGATAAAGTATTCACTCGTATCCATACATTTGAACTTTAATTGGATGTTTAAAAGCTATAAAACTGGGGCTTTAGTGGTGAAATATAGTTCAAATATCCCGTACTCGAAATACTCCTTTAAGTAATTGCCATGAGTCTCAATTATTGAAATAATAAACAGAATAAAAGAAACGCTGATGGTAATCGACATGCGATATTGTAATATTGAATTGCTTTCAAACTTTGTGGACAAAGAGGCTTCATGCCAATTAAAAAATGTAAAAGGCAAATCGAGGGATATTTCTTTGGCGGCTTAATGAAACCTTCATTGGTATACCATTAGGTAATCACAAAATGCTAAGATCTTACGATCTCATACGCATAATTAAAAAAATCATGATAAAAAAAGGTACAAAATTACAAAAATTTTCTTCTTGTCGTGATTATGCATTACTTTCTTTATATTGAATTATGGTATAATATAACACCATGTCATAAAAATAGTTTTGTTTTATATAATTTCGTAAATCTAGACGGCAAATTTTTCACGGTACACCTCATGCACTTCTATTTTCTTTCAATCATCCACACTCTAAACCCATTCCAATTAAGATTTGGATCTTCAAAAATTTCCCTAGACTATCACCGACTATTGTATTGTTAATGGTCTGCTTTCACAAATCAACTGACCTCATTGTCTTTGTCTGACGAAATATCATTTACAACTGACTTGTCAGTATGTTCCTTGGCTGTTGGGAACTGTTGACAAATTGCCTCTGGCTGAAAAATTTATGAAGTCATGTGAAATAAGAACGCCAACCATACGTCTGTGCCAACAAAATGGAGAAGGCATAGCCAATAAATAGAAAGACTGATTTAGTCTGGATAATCAGTAGTGAACCAATTCAAGGTAGCATTGATGTAAATAATCAAGCAATTGTTTCATACAAAGTAAAAAATCACGTAAGTAGTCATTTATGATAACATCCAGTAATGACCAGTGTCATCCAGTGATGATGAATGACATGTAATAATGTTGAGGCAAATGCGTAAGTTAAGCGATGAGTTTTTTCGTACAAATATTGACACAATGTGTGCATTGACAATCAATCCGGTGAAATGAAACTGAAATGGTAAACAAGTTGATTATAAAGTTTTTACCAAAGCCTTTACCAGGTCAAAAAAAATCCGAGATAATTTCAAAAATTTTGAAATCACCTCAAAAAATGACCAAAAGTTTAAAAATTTGATCAGAAATAAAAACAAAGTATATAGTCGAATTTTACTCACAATATGCGCAGTTTTTAAATGATATTCAAAGAATAATTCAGAATAATAAATCGTGTAAAACTACTTCATATTTATACGAAGACCATATATGTTATCCATTTGAGAAAAGCATAAAGACATACCATATGATCAGTATTTAGTTTACTATGTTCATCTTTTTCAGGTTCTTTTACCCCTTCCTTTGCAACTACAACCTACAATAGACGAATGATATTGTTCACAATTTTCTTTGCCAAAGCAACAAACAAGATTAAACACGACATAAAGAATTTATGCGAGTTAAGCGAACTTGAGAAAGTTTTCGTAACATGTTGTGAAGAGTTTCATTATTATCCGATGGTCTTCAATATAAACCATCGCTTTTTTCAGGAAGTCTAGGATAAGGGACATTTCAAGATATTGTAGTTTTGAAATAATAAAACGGTATGAATACACATGCACACGAGGAGTAGTTTCCAGCCAATTTTTTTAAAGGCGTACAGGGCAATAGTCAGCAAAATGATGTTTCACTATCGGAAAGTGTTAGGATCGTCGTTTTTTAATCAATGTCGAACTTTGTGCCACCTCTTTCACGTATTAAGTAAATTAGCAAACGAATTTGTAGTAGCTTATGTTAGGGTGGTTCCAGTATTTCATTCAGTGATGAATGCATTATTTGGAAAATTTGCAGTACAATAACATTTTCATCAACAAGTCAATAGGTCATACGATCTTAATGAAGAGTGCAACGTGTTCTGGATCCGCGTATGCTATATTAGACAAGATGGCATGATATAAAATTGGAATTAATTGCTTTGGATAAAATATAATAAAAGCGAATAAAACTGATATGATTACTAATGAAAAAATATAATGGTTGTAAGCATGAAATGCGATTTCTCCACTGGATTTTCTTTCTCATAAAGTTTTATGTGGGGCAATATTATAACTTACAACTAAATGGATACGCTGAAGCCAGCTTTTCATGCTTATTTTAATGATAATATTATGGTTGAAAACTGCAATTGGTTTTCTTTATTTTTCAAAATCCAGAAGTAAAAACATAAACGTGCAGTTGTGTAAAATTGAAATTTAGTTAGCTATATAGGAACGGGAACAAAGCATATTGTGATCATTGATTAATGTCATGTGATAGACAATAGTGATGTAAATGCGTATCTGATTCTTGCAGTTAAAGCATGATTTCACCAAAAAATTTACCTGATCAGCACGCTGTTGCCGTTTTGCTTTTCACAAGAATTGATTTTATGCTCGAAGATACAAAGCTCTTCACTTTGTTCTAAAATAAAAACGAAGTAAAAACCTGTTGCATAATTTAGGTAGAGTAACAAGGAATTAATTTCACTAAGTTTTTTTGCAAACATTTCAATGGTAGCTGCTGATCATGTAATTGCTAATCTTGATGCCATGCGTACGTATCTGGTTCATACAGCTACATTATAAATGAGTTTCTTATTGAGTTTTTACAGATGTCTTTATACCTGGTTAACAGCAACCTGTGATGGTTTTGATTTCATCCATGAAAATTTCTTCACCAAAAATGACAAAATGAATGTATTCTGAGAATGCTAAAAAGCAGGTAGTCTTAAAAACTCACGCACATAAGATTTCTTTAGTGGCAGTCTAATCTTGTAAATGTTAGGATCCTTTTTTGTTCAGCTTAAGTACTTTCAATCTCGCTTACTTAAAGACTATTATGACATGCATTAGCTAAGCTAAAATAAATATGGAGAAAACTGCCATGATAAAATCTATAAACGAGATAATTGATTTAATTGAATAATTCACCAATGGATTTTTACTCCTAAAGTGCCTGTGGCATAGAACAATATTAAATACATATTCTGAAGCCAAGTTATAAGAGAATTTACTGAAAAATGAGTTAAGTTGCATTTGTTTTTCATAATCCATAAGCAAAAAAAGTGTGCGGTTGTGTAAAATTAGCATTGATGTTATAGTCATATATGTTGTAGTCATTGGGCAGATAATGATGATGAATGTTTCCTGATGAACGATATAGATGGCAATGCCTGTTTAATGCAGTTAAAGCATAAATAAATTCATGATAAGTTGTTATTAGAACATTTACCAGATAAGCTACACTCAGTTGCAATTTCAAGTTCTTCCAAAACCATTTTGTCTACAAAGATGAAAGAGTGAAGATTAAGTTCTGAAATAAAAAGCAGATACAGAAATTCCTTCACAATTGGTTTTTAGAAAAACAAGCATAATGAACACGAATAAACACGTCCCTACTAGCTAAGTACTAGCTACCAGGTACGTTCCAGCTACGCCCTGTAGTTTTACTCAAATTAAGCTTTTTTGCCTCTTTGTTCACTTAAATGGTAAATTATCTCCTGATTTTATAGCATGCTGATTTTAATTGGCAAGATACAACAGAGGACAAATGACATATGACAGATGCACAATTTTTAACCTAAAAGTTGTTTCTTAAACAGATTTCTTCTCCTATGATGTTTCTTATAGAGTATGGGATATTATCAGGTGATTCATGACTTATACTAAGAAAAGTATTCTGAAATAATATTGTCTATGAAATAATCACAACAAATATACTCATACATTGTACAGTGATGTACACGAACTATTCGATAAAAATGGTTGTGGAAGATTTGAAATTTTAGATAATTTAGAAAAAGTCAGATATTTTTTCGTCATTGAGCAAAAATGTGTCGTCGTTCTCAATAGCTTGGCGTTAAGAGCTTTTTCATTTAGCTAAATCTTAATTAGAATTCAAAATGTCCTGACGAAATTGTTTAAAAAATGTTTACCCATTTGATGAATTTTAAGGAAGGTGCGAAAGGCTGTAATACTTGATTGCTCTTTAAATGATTCAAATGGTTGCTATCGACATAACTCGAGTGTACACCGTCTATTTCAGGCTCCTCGGATGAAGATTCAGTAATCTCATTTGTTGGAACAGCAGGACCTTCCTCCATCTCAGAGTATGTGTCACATGATCCATCGACCTACAAGTAAACAAAAATTCTAGTAAAAAATATTTGACAAGAATTAAATTTTTAAAAATTTCCATGAAAGAATATATTGTAAGAACTGAAAAACACTACAATACTTTGTCCATCTCCAACGACGTAGATTTGCTCTCGCATGATTCAATAACGATGTTAAATTTATCATTGTCTTCATCATTTATTTTAATTAGTTGAGCGAAGTCACGTTCCTGAGACTAAAGAAACAAAACATTATAAGTTCCAAGGACACAGCTGCTATACATTTTCGTGACTTTCTTCTAACTGAATTTGGGTTGACGTGTTTTTTAGTATTTACTTTATGCATTGTACCAACAAACAAAAAATCTGAAAATAAGTTAGTAAAAAAGTTGCACCTAATTCAAACTCACATAAAAAATACTCTTTGCAGTAGGTTCTAGTGGTTTGACATAGATTTTGTTTGGTCTAAGACATAAAATGGTTATTTGAGAATCTTAAGTAACTAAGATTAAGTTTAGATAGTGTTAGTACAATTCTTTCTTTCTATAATGCAAATAAGAACAGGAAACATAAAAAACACTGCTGAGGGGCAAAATTCATATATGTATGCCACTTTTTGTAACAAAAGCTTTTCTACAGTTGTGTTAGTTGGTCTACAATTTTAGAACTAAAAGGATATTATGGAAAATTTACAGTTTACTATACCAGAGAGATTTTATCGTCAGAGACATCCTTGCACACTTCTGTCTATAACATATTAACTTCATAATTTACAAACAAGAGTTTACCAAATACTTTTGTTCGATATTAATAATATATAAACACGCGCACCTTATCTTTTGTACTTGGTTTATCTACAAGCCCATCTCTCATGTTTTTCTTCGCGCTTTGCGTCTATAATCAGTCAATAATAATTTACACATCGTATATGAACATTAATGGATGGGAGTCGAAACCCAGTGCAATTTTTTAATGAAACACAAGCTATATTTCATTTAAAGAGTGATAAATACGAATCTTTTTCTTAAGAAGAAAGAATGGCGTGAAAGTCCAAGCTTTTTCCATAACAAATAAGAGATAACATATGAAAATATAGAAGATGGGCGAAGAAATGATTGGTGAGAACTAGGGAAGCTGAAGCCCCGCGCCTTTTTCCAATAGTAAAACAAAAAAGATATTTAGATTGAGCTGAAGTTATTGCTTAGAAGTGTTTTTTAATTAGATGTTATAGTAAAATTGAAGACTTAGCCACCCCACTTCATAAAATGCTTCGCCGTCCCTGAAAAAAACTCACGGGTGAACAACACTTTTACCCCACTTTTCGCAAAATACAGATATTTTTCACGACAACATAATTTTCTAACACGAAGCTCAAACATGGTACTTCCGGCATTATTTCTACTTAGAAAATATCTTCCTGATGCTGAGCTATAGAGTCGGTCGACAAAGAGAAACTACTCGAAACTATTGTCTACAATAATCAAACTTTCCCGCTTGTGAAATGTTTCATTTGATTGGCAATTATGATTATTTTTTGTTTGACCAACTAATCAGGAACAAATTGATGGTTAAAAAAATACATACTGTTGAGTAATGAATGTGGTAAAAAACAGATAAAATATGAAAGACTTCGTCACAAAGTTTTATACCAAAAAAATTTACCTGTTGTCGTTTTCCCATGATCAATGGATGTGAGGCGAAACTAGGTGCAACCTTTTTAAGAAAACCCAATTAAGCTAACTGTCATTCAATATGTGTGTTCAATACGAGTCTTTTCCTTGAGTAGAGCATGTTTAAACTTTAAAGTAGCTCAAAAGTCCAAAATTTTCCATAATAAATAAAGAATTCATGAATAGAAAATAAACAATAGCTGTAAACAGGAACTTATCACACATGTAAACATTTATTGGACGTACAAGGGTCACGACACGTCACGTTTGGAAAACAAACCCTTTCACAAAGCGCTTACTGATATTGAAGGAGTCACGAATATTTCACCAAAAATGTACAAACTTCAAAATTGTGTAAAATTTCCATTTTTTCCAAAACAAAAGTCACGTCGATAAAATATTCGACGCGTTGAGATATAGGATAAATGAATTGAAAATTTGAGATTACTCCCAAGGAGAGGGTTTAGGTCAACCTAAAGTATTTACGTGGGTAAACGAGGGAGGATTTTGGTAGTAGTTGGTTCAAACTGTCATTGGCCTATCATAATAATATGTAAACATACTTTGTCACTCTGTTCATTGGCAGAACTATCTTCAGAGGTCTCTTTCTGCGGCTAGAATAAACAAATAACAAAGCGATGACAAATTTATCTGACTGATATTGAACATTGTATATTTGAAGGAGTTATTTCAACTCCAAAGGGGGTTAACGTAACACCTTTTGGTGGAGTAAAAAATTAAGAGCTATATAAACCCCTAGAATATAGTTAAATTAGCCCTAGCTAATGATTAAATGCTGATTTTACTCCACATGAAGTAATTTTAACTCCGCCAAGAGAGTTAAGCTAAATCTTAAGTCAGACAATAACTGACAAACATTTTACTCCTTAATAAACATTTTACTCCGGTTGCATTATGACTCTTAACTGTAGTTGTTTTAACTCCTCATTATATAATTGCTATAAATTGTTACAATTGATACAATTTTTATAAATATAAAGGGACTTACTAAATAATGTATAAATAAAACGAATAACCCTTTCCTATTATTTAATCAACCATATCGTTCGCCCACGCCGGTTGAAGCTCATGACATAATTTATTCTTTTGTATCTGACAGTCAACATGGCGGAATGAAAACTCAACCTTTATCGCTTCCTTCGCCATTAACAACACATTAAAAACAACCCATTACTCCATCGATCCACAAATTATGTTGAGCTCTGTTTTCTGTGCGGATAAAGAACAAACCACTCACAGTTTGGGAAATAAATGGCTATGCGCGTAGAGCACATGCTGAATTATAATTTATTAAAGTTTTACAAATTTAAGGAGTTGAATTTAACATAAGGATGCTTTAATAATTTTTTTCACAGAAAAGGTGGAAGATAAAAACACCCACTCCAATTGCATGTAACTGATATGTCCTGCAACTGTTATTGAGAAAATTTCAATGTTCCATGACGTGATGAAGGGTGGAAGGGGTGGGTGATCCTTTATATCTAACTTTGAGAGACGTCTACCCTTCGGCTAGTTTGACGACAATGACCCTGTGTCTTGATGTAACTTATTTATCTCTATATATAACTACGACATGCCACGTGCATGTACACATGATTGGAATTATACAAAGTGTATCAAATTTTTCCTCTATAAACGTATTTCCATCACACGAAGTAATGCTAAAACCACCTAAGGTATGATACGAATACCAAACTTGCCGTCTGAAGCAATAAAACTATTAATCGATGGAAAATAACTCGTTTATTAATTCAAATCATTTGAGAGAATACTACTGGAAATAAAAATCCGCTCACAGCCAAGCGAAACGTAGATTAATGGATCGATACATTTCCCCTTCAGGAGAGAAAAATACTTTTTTGGAACCATCAGCTGTGGAACAGGTTCTAGAACAATATCCTGCTATAAGACTGGTGTCAGAAGCGAGTCCTATTTCTACAATTGTGCTTATGGCGAGGATTCGAATGTAAATTTTTCTGTACTAAAAGCCAGCACAAATTATAACTGTTTTTTAATTCTTTCTTTAATTCAGAAATTGAGATTCTGTAACAGTAATATTTCTTCCACTTTTGATAAAAGAACGTACTACAAAAGATTCAGGCTTACTTCACATTTGCTCTGTAAGTATTATGGCGAAATATTTATTTGTACGTCATAGCCACTTGATTTCTCTCTTTCTAATTGAACAGGGCATTCTTATCCGGTATTTTATATTTTTTTCGGATTATTTTTTTTTTTTGGTTTTGTCTTTTATACATTGCTGCAGAGGGGAAAACTATTTCAGAGCTTAATAGCTCGATTTTGCCAGTGCAAGCTTTGGATTTTTATTATATATTTAATATTGCATATCCCACCTCAGCAGGGAATTTATTTCATTTTTTAAAGGCTGCACTAATGGAAAGGTCAGCTGAAGCTAAGAAACGAGTTGTTGTACATAAGTTCTTTCAAGAATTGAAGTAATTCATAGAGCAGCCATAAATTTACAGAAAGATGGTATTTTATATAGTTATATTGACGTCTTAAATATAATTACTGTGCATCTATTTTCTATCTTATTTAAAACTGTATTTCTTGTCGTTATTATAATTGAAATTTAAAAAAATTGTACTTCTTGTGTTTTGTCAAATTGTCCTAACTACAGGGTGTCATAATTTCTACATAACACAACAACTCCGAAAGAAGAGAAGAGTTATCTTAAATCCACCTTTGGAGTTACGTTTAACTCCAGAAAAAGTTCTTTTAATTCAACTCTTGGAGTTAAGCTTACTCCAAAAATGGAGTTAAAATTTTGGAATAAAATTTAACTCCAAAAAAGGAGTCATTCTGCACCTTTTTATTGTACTCCACTTTTGGAGTTAAAATGACTCCTTGAAATTACAGTGAAGGAGCGACGAATATGAGCCTTGAAATGGTGCTGATAAAATATTTTCCATGCAGAAATATCATACTCAATTACTTGTGGATTAAAAATTCGAGATAAAAATGGTGTAAATACATATGAGGATGGTTTTCAAGAGTCAGTCTACATTCATTGGCAAAGAATACGTATGTTTGCAATCTAATGTAAGAAAGGCGCGTAATACATTATTTTTTTTTTAATGAGAACTGCTATCCAATGTTTGCGAAAAGGTCCTGGTTTTCAAACTCTAAACGATTACCGGTAAATTTTACACAGCACAAAATAATCATTCTTGCATACGACTGCTAATGTA